ATGCGTAATCAGGTTTATCATTCTTAAAAATCTTTCTTTTAAATTAGTAGAAGATGATGAATTTGAAGATATGTTTATAGATGGTTTTTATCCTGCATTTAAAAAAATTCTCGTCAAACATGTCAACGTGATATTTTAAAATATTATCAGGAGGAACAAGGAAAAATAATTTCTTATTTAAAAAATTTAAACTGTAAATTTCTTTAACTTCTGATATTTGGACATCTAGAGCACAAACTGAATATTTATGTATCACAGCATACTGGATTGATGAAAATTGGCAAATGTTTAAAAGAGTTGTTTCTTTTATTGTAATAGAAAAGTCACGTACTGGTATTAATGTTACAAATTTAATAATTGAAGAACTTATAAAATTAGAAATTTCAAAAAGAATATTTTCTCTTTCACTAGATAATGCAAGTAATAACAATGTAGCTGTTGATTTTATCAGATCAACTTTATCATTGCCATGTCATGGTGATCTTTTTCATATTAGGTGTATCTGTCATATTTTAAATTCATGGTGATCTTTTTCATATTAGGTGTATCTGTCATATTTTAAATTTAATTGTTCAAAATACATTTACTGAAATTAAACCCATGATAGAAAAGATTAGAACAGTTACTTATATGCATAATGCTTCTGAACAAAGACTTAAAAGATGGAAACAAATTTATAAAAAAAATATAAATCCCAGACTAATTCCAAAAGATGTTGACCATAGGTGGAATTTCACCTATGCAATGTTAAGTGTAGCAATAGAATATAAAGACATTATAATTGATTTTATAAATTATTATACTTCTAGTCCTAGTTCTGGTAGCACTTACGAAATAACTGAAGATGAAAGGATAATTATATGTAATTTAAATGAAATGTTACAAGTTTTTTTATGATGCTACAATGTTATTATCTGGATGTTATTATCCAACCATTACTTTAGCTGCTTTACAAATTTTAAATATTCAAAAAAAAATTTGAGAAATATCGTATGGATGATACTTTTGGACCTATGCTTTTTCAAATGGAGAGCAAATTTAATAATTACTTTAGACCTATTCCTCATATTTTTGGTTTGAGGGTTCTTATTGATCCATGCTTGAAGGATATTGACCTTCGAAGTTTGTTATAATCCTTATATGATAATCAGATTATAGACTTAGATAATGGAACCACCCTTACTGCTACTACTCATCATTTAGCTATTAGAAATTATTTTCAAAAACCTTATATGATGAGTATGCAGCTAGACATGGTGTAACTACAGCCTACACAACAGTCTACAGCTTGAGTTTCTTCGAGCTCATCCCGAGTTAAAAGTGTAAGTTTTGATAGGTATGCAATGGTAGCTGAGCTAACTGGTGGATGTGGACTTGGATCGTCATCATTGGAGGTTTCTGAAATAGATAAATATTTATCTGCTTCTTTAGTTAAATATCAAGGAAATACTTTAGATATTTTATAATGGTGGAAAGTATATGGATTAGTTTCATATCCTATACTTTCCACCATGGTTCGTGACTTACTAACAGTGCAGGTTTCGACGATAGCTTCGGAATCCGCCTTCAGCACAGCAGGACGTTTGATCGACGATCACGGGACATGCTTAGATCCGTATATTGTACAAGCGGTGATGTGTTTACAAGATTTGTGGAGGTACGAGAAGCGAACGCAAGGCATCAATCGGATGGCTGGAATTGAAGATAAATTTAAAGAATTGGGACTAGCATATAGATATAAAGAATAAATAATATTAATTAAATTGTATTTTTTATATCTTAGCTTAAATTTTGTAAAGAATTATTTTGAAAATAGTTACAAATGATAGTGATATAGGTGAGTAGGTGCCAACCTAGTTGGGATGTACTTATCTATTGTGATGCGATAAATTCCAAAATAAATTTGTACTTATAATTTATAAATAATTTATTAATTATTAATAAAGAATTTGTTTTTATTATTTTTTATTTGTAATTTATGTTATTTTAAGTGATTAATAAAATTATTGTTTTTATTAATTTTTCTTGTCTTTTTTTATATAATTTAAATTTTAAATAAAATTAAAAAAAAAGAAACCGGTTGGGCCCGGGCCCAGGCCCGGATTTCCGGGTCAGGCCGGACCGGATGGACAGGCCTAGTTATCAAATACTTTACATGTGCATCCAGAAAATATTTACCTTGTGCACAATACTACGTATACAGAATTGAAAATTTTCCACTAACATCCTAGCATGGGAACATTAACTATTTTTGTATCTGTTGGAAAACTTCAATACTCATTCACCCGATCAAACTCATATTATTTACCAGCAATCGATGTCGAAGACAAGAAAAACTTTCTCATAATATAATCATTTTCCTACTACAAAAGACGAAACATATAAGATTTAAAATAGATTTCCAAGACTTTACTATGAAAAACAAAAGTAGAATACCAAATTAAACCAATGTTTCCTACAGATATATTAGCAAGCATCTACTAAAGTCATAATAGAAGTAATTTTCATAATTAAACTCATACGTCAAAATTTATTTTTAAGCAAATAATCAGCTAAACCCCTAAATGAGAACTACGTACCAATCCACCCAAAATCGGAGATAATAAGGGCTTGTTTGGTTCAATTTTTATAAAAAAAGGAAAAGGAAAAGTGCTCAAAATTTAATTTCCTTGTATTTCTATAAAATTTGTAGGAAAAATTTATAGAACTTAAAGAGTACTATATTTCTTTTCTTCTTTTTTTTTTTTTTGCTATTTCTTTGTTTGGTTCAAAGCATGAAAAAGTTCCTAACTTTTTAGAAAATAGGTTGTTTTCTTTTTCTTTTGTTTGGTTGGATATCACTTTATAGAAAATAGATTATTAACAATGTTCATGGGAAATCACATGGGAACAGTACTAGTGTACTTAATTATTATTATTTTAATATAAGTATCAGATTTCTAGGCAATTTCCTCTAATTTAGAGAGCAAGCTGATTTCTATAAAATACTCCGCTTTTCCCTACTTAATAGAAAACATTTCTATAAAAAAAAAATGAACCAAACATAGTTTACAGAAATCTACAGAAATCTGTTATTTACAAAAATGTTATTGTCTGGTATTCTTTCAAAGCTTTTCTATAAAATGGGTGAACAAAACACCCCCTAATATGCAATTATCTTCAATGGAAAAAAGAAACTTGAAAGCTCACCGGTTCATAAATAGGTCCAAAGATCTCACCAACTTTCCCAATCTGAGTCTTTTCAGTAAATAATCGGCGCAATGAAATAAGGTATCTTCTCATTCATCAACTTGGTCACAACATAACCCTCACAACGATGAATTAAGAAACCTCTAACGACTTCCGAGGGTGGTCCTTCTTCCTTGAACTGCTATGAGAGTAATGCACAGAGAGAAAGGACAGAGAAGCAAGGAAAGGGTTAATGATTAGTCAACCGGATTAAGAATAAATGATAGATCATGGATAAAGGGAAATTGAATTTGGGGGAATTCAAAGAGATAGAAATGTGGAAATAGAACATCTTCAGTTAAAGATTAAAAACGTGGCTGCAATATTGATCAGAATGTAATATCTACAAATATTGTCCATAGAAACTTTTCCCAAGCTCCAACTTTTAAAGGGAGTTTGATTATCTATTGTTTTCATATCCATTTTGTATATACATGTATATATGTTTATATATCCACGTGTACATCCGTATCTTTATCCGGTTTTATACATCAGTATCTATATCCGATTTTATGATCTAGATCAGAGTAAATGCATCCAACTTGGTTACACAACTTAGTCCTCTCGTATAATTTCAACCTTTTAAGTGTTTCTGGAAATGTTAATTAACGATTGTAGCTATTCATGTTATTATATAATGTGTATATACTTCATCTTCCATCAAATCTCATTGAACTCCCTAATCAAAGGATATTAGAAGGATGTCTCTAATGTCCTCCATTTTCCGGGGGAAAAAGAACAATAAAAAGAAGATGTATGATTTCATATATTGCAAGCACGTCACTAAAAATTCAGCTTTTTAGAGATGTTATAGGAAATCAAGTAAAGCGCAAAATTATCCTAAAAGAAAGACTAAGCCAATCATGAGAGCAATTCATGTCATTTGATATCTCAGATACAGTTACGGAGGCCCCTCTGCCTCAGTACTGAGGATGCTTCTAAGGATTCTAGAAATACTAGCTTGGACGAAGTTGAAACAAACAGTTGAGAAACACCTACATCAAGAAATAAACCTCATGTCAATCTGTTTTTTAACATCCTTCCTTCTGAAATTCTTTGTCAAATAATTCAAAATCCTAATGACATTTTGATCAATTTCTTTAAATGTACCTAAATCCAATTTGAACATATATACCCATTGATCACATCCATGACCTTTATCCAGAGTTAATTGTAATTGATCGTAGAAATCTCATTAAAATGAATGAAAATGATAAATTTCACAAAAACTATTATCTTCATCCAGAGGTAATTGTAGTTGATCGTAGAGATCTGTATAATAACTCCTAAACTTTAAAAATAATTCTTCTATTGAATGGATTTGAATGAGAAAACCATCTTAAAACTAATATGAATTTCATAATTTACTATTATTTGAAGCCAGATTCACTAAGGAATACATAAGATTTGAAGTTCTTAAACAAGAAACCAAGAACCAGAAAATGATCGGAGCTCCGACCTGGATCCATGCACAAGAAAAATTAAAGGAATTTTGTAGGATAAGTTGAGGTGTTTCGTAGGAAAAGTTGGAAAGTTTAGTGGGAGAAACAAAAGTCATGAAGGTTTTGTGGGCAACGGCCTAAAGTTTTGAGGGGTTTTGTGAAATTTAACCGATCAAAAATCTTATGCTTGGTTTCCTATCACAGTAATGGGTCTGATTAAAAATCTGCATAACAAACGATTGACCATAACTTTGAGAAATAAAACCCAAGGCATCAAATTAGCGACCGACTACCGATTGGAATTTTGAATTTCTTAGACTTCCACCAAGCTGAAGAAAAAAAAATTATTATCCAGACAAAAAATAAAAATACATGGGATTTGAACTTCTAAAAATCAAAATAATCATCTTAATTAATCACCTCTCACCTCACAACAACAAAATCCCTCAGATCAAAACTCACCAATCTTAAACAAATCCCTTGTAAAGAAATTCAATCACTCAGTAATTCCGAAAGAAACGGTTCTCTTTCTCTCTCTCTCCCCCCTCTAGTTTCCTTCAAACTAATAAAACTTTCCGAGGAATATAGTAGATTGTTTTCTCTACTGAATGCTAAACTGAAACACTGTAGAATAAGCTCTTAAATAAAGATGCGGCATGTCACTTTATACAAAGCTGTCGGCGAAAGCTGTGGATCAAGTGAAAGGATAGAAATTTGAGAAGAGAAGACTGCCAAGAAGAATGTAGCCAATGAAGTAAAACCAGATAAAATAACAAATTCTTCTTGATATGGAGCCAGGTGAGTCCAGTACATATGAAGCAAACCAGTAGATGGGAGGGCTTGCAGACAAGAAGCGGGTAGCAACCTGCTAGAAAACAGTAAGTTTTCACTTGCAGAACAAAATCGGTAATGTCTGTTGCAAGATTAGTACAGAAATTTTATCACTAACTAGTAACTAAGAAGAAGCTTGCATGTCGTGTTATAACAAAAATACAGTAACAGTTCTCATTTACATATACATTAGAAATATGTTCCGTGTTCCAACTAATACATGTTGCTATTTGATTGCACAAAGATGAGCAAATATGTCTGGTCTTTATATATGTAGCCAATTGGAACCTAGAGTTTACACCAGAAGTTGGTTTGCAAGTCCTATAAAACATAAAGTGAAAAAATTAGGTTTCACCTAAATAGTAATAGCACGGGTCAAAACCAGCAGAGTTCATTATATGATTCCCTCCCACACCCAACATCAGCAGAGCCTAATGAGACTGTCCTTGGGAAACAACAGTAGCAGCACCACAGGGCAGCGGAATAACTCCCTAACTAAGTCACTGGGAAAAAGGGAAAAAAACACTTGTCCTTTTTCTCGACCTTTTGATGGCGAAGTGGGCGGAGGGCTTAGATCTGAAGGCGAGAAATCGTCAATGACTTGGCAGAATGATATTGTAATAAATGATGAACAGTAATCTCTATACTGTTCAACCGTGAACAGTGATCAGGTTTTTGGGTTTTAGGTTTTAGGTTTTCTTCGGATAGTTTGGCTTGAATTGGATGTCTTGGACTCATTTAGAGGGATTGATCAGGAAGGAGAGAAGAAGAGAGCTTTAGATAAATTACTAGGCTCCACATCTAGGGGCCTCACAAGAGCTTCACCTCAGAGGCAAATCACATGCCAAAAAGAGCCACGTGATCTCTCTCTCTCTCTCCTCTCTCCTCTCTCCTCTCTCTCTCTATATATATATATATATATATATATTATATATATATATATATATATATATATATATTCTTTTTAAAAGAAAGTAAATAAACGTTTTAGGCCTCGTTTGGCAAAGGGTCGGAGGGGTTAAGGAGAAGAATTAACATGGTTAGCACATTTAATAACTCAAAGGACTAAATTATTAACCCATTAAATAAATTTTATTTTAGCCTTTGTAGTGTTTGGGAATAACAAGGATTAGTAAACCCTTACTAAATAGGAGTATTTTGACAAATTATAAATAGAGGGGTTAACTTTTAATCCTTCTAAATAGGAGTATTAATAAACCCCTCATTTTGAGGGGTTTAACTCATTTTATTCCCTCCACAAGGGTTAGCTTAATCCTTCTGCATTTTTTGTGTTTGGCAAATTATAGAGGGTCAACTCACTTTAACCATTCTATGGATTTTTTGTGTTTGGCGGGTTAAAAAAAGTTAAGTCTCCTTAACCCCTCACTTAACCCATTGCCAAATAGCACCTTATGGAAGTAAATAAAAATCCTAATCAAATCAAAACATGCGATCAAATAAAATTCTAACTAAACTAAAACGACATATTAAAATCAAATCCTAAAGAAATCCTAACTAAAATAAAAAGTTGCATGGAATCAAATCAAATATTACTAAAATAAAAATTATTCTAATAGATCTTAAATCTTTTGATGAACAGTCCACGATCATCCTGCATCACCTTTTAGACGTTAAATGCCTGAGTTCTGTTTGAAATAAGGTAGTCTTGGTCAAATTGGACGGGTTAAGAGCAAAATAATAGAGACCAAAGTTATTGGGTGTCATGATTTTCTCCAGAAAAAAAGGATAAAAACAAATAATAGGGACTGGACTTATTGAGCATCACAATACATTAACTTTTAGATATGCAAAGGGGCCAGAAATAGGTGCTTTACCTGCACATGCATAACAAAGAAGGCAGTAAAAGTCATGAAACCCAAATGTAAAATGAAAGGGAGAACCATGATAGAATGGTATCCTTGGAGAAAATTATGGGAAGCTTCTGGACGAGGATAGGGATCTTGGATACTCTCGGAACCTTTATCCAGACTCTCCTTTTTCCGCCGCCTCACCCTATGATCCCCTGTTCCAAACAGAGTATCATTACATTGTCACTAAATGACACCAGATCATATAAGAATAAAAATAAACCACAAAACAGGGTTTTCTGAGAAACAATTGCTGTAACTTTAATAAAATATTTAAATGTGCTAAGCTACATTTGAGTTATTTGAGCATCTAGTTGCCAACGTAGGTGCAAATGAACACAGAATTTCAAAATATACATATCTGTGCCCTATGTTTTAAAACTAAATTACAGAGAAAAGCAAGCAAGCATATTTTCTTGTTCCACCATTACAAAAAAAATGTCTCTTTCTGGGGTCACGGAATAGTCGTACATAATGAAATAGTAACTACCTTTTCAATCCTCAAAATTGAGAAATTTGTAAAAACAAGGAGGCTATTCAAAATTTTCATTAATTCTATGTCAGCTGACTAATGAGAGGTAACACAATAAGCTCTTGTTTCATGCTATGCAATATTTGGAAAGTTTAAGGCAAACGTACCTTCAACAGTTTCAGAAGACATGCTGTAATTTAACTGAGATGGAGAATCTGAACTCTGATTATCTCCCACTGGATGCATCATAGAGGCAAAAGTTTTACCCTCCCTTGAGAACTGAAAAACTTTAAACAGCGAGCTAGTATACCAAACAACTGAGCAGACTGCCAAAGATAATACTGGAGACGCGAGAAGAAAATTGGGCAACTGTTTCATCTGGAAATATCTCAAGAAACCTACACCCCTGTGACGAAGGAAACAAAAATATATTCAAACAAGGAAGCAAAAAAGAGGTAAAGATAAAGATAAATAGAAACCTAGGGCATCCATCTAGGTCACTAAGGAGTGGTGCTAAATCTTGGAAAATAAAGATAATGACCGAGCATATATTCTGATCATTATTAATTTCGACTGAGAAATTAATTGAACTCAAAAGTCAACATGAGAAACAGTAATTTTATAGGACAAACTGTGATACTTACCAAATATTATAAATAATTTAATCCAACTATTTTTGCAATGGTCTAAGTATCTCATTCATGTGTTAGTGTAGAGATGCAGCCTTTTGTAGCCAATGAGACAAAGCCATAAATAATGTATGAAGCTCATGTTGTGTGGGTTGAAACTTAGGCTTCTATATGGTTATACATCAAAAACAACAAAGTATGGCAAATTGCCTCATTGTGTCTCACTCTCTCCTTGTTTCAGGATTTAAGGTTTCCTCCAACTGGCAACAACTAAGGTTTCCTCCAACTGGCAACAACTAACACATACAAAGTCCAACAATGGACATAGGTAATTCTCTTACCTCTCACTCTTCGTCATTTTCATTTAACCACTATAATTCCCATGCCTCTCAACCTAAGAATTGTGTTGCAACACACATAAGCAGGACACCACAACTTTTCACCTACTATCTTGCTCTCTTTCACTTCTATGTTTTTTCTCTCTTCTTTCACAAAATATTGTTGTTGCGACTAAGTTATTTGGTATAGAATATTCTAAAACAGGAATTAGGGATATAACAGCATATATATAAGATTATGAATAGCTTACGAAACTGTGGCTACAGTTTACAAAGAAGGTCAAAGAAAATTACTGAGAAAGAATATCAGCGACTATTTCCCAACACATCAATATAAGTATATAACATCAATGATTAAAACTCACAAACACATGCACAGTCGCACACACGCGCAATATCCCAACAAAAAAAGAGAAGAAAAGCCCCTCAAATCTTTTCCTCTCATATTAGTCATCAATGGTTTCTGCAGACAGCCAATCACTATGCACCTCTACAAACAGTGGAGATAACCGCACGACGCACATTATACACCTCTGAAGAACATGGATAATTGTCTACAGCCTACACCCTATCCTCAATGAAAAGGGAAAAAATTGTTGAAGTATAAAATTTTCAAAACAAACTTTCAGAAAACATAATACAAAAAATTAATTATTCATTATATATTTCAACTACTAACCCAACAGATAGCAATAAGTTTCATTGATGAAGTACCAGTAATGACTTTGAAGAAAACCATATAGAAGAGGGACTCTTCCTTTGCACCAAGGCCTCAACTCATTAGAACTGCTACATTGGCAAATAATCCAGTATCCATATGCTTGAAAAAGGATAAATGGAGAAAATATAAAAAGAGAACGGCCAATCCCAGCAGCAACTACCTGCACAGCCAACTGCAAGAGAAGTGAATAGATAGCTACCTCCGACTCTCTCCAAAAAACATTGAAATCGTGATTACCAATTTAGAAAGTTCAATCCCAAATAGGAAAGTTCAGCAGACAGTTTTCTTTCCAAGAAACAAAGCTATGGTTTCCACTATAGCAAAGGGCATAAAGCCTGGTATCAAGTTATCAACTATCAATTATACATAGGAATTATCACCTAATAATATAACTAGAACATTTATTAATTTACCCGAGAAGACAGATCTCAGGAGAGCTTTCTGAAAGAAAATAATTCACGTAGGCAACCCAAAAGAGGCTTAGTTGGTGTTGTAGTAAAAGGAGGGGAAAACATACTTTATGCCTTTTCTTCTGGATGATAGCATCACAGACCTGAAGCATCGCCAGAAAACAGAAATAGCCAGCATTAATAGCACCATTTGACCTAGCTGCACCAGAGAGAGCAAGCAGCAGCATGGCTACAGTATTAGAACCAGAAAATAAGTAGAATAGTCCTCCAAGTGAAGATAAGGCATACAAACTCTCCGAATATCTGTCAATGAGGTGTTTCAATCTCAAAAATAGTGAACCTACAAAGTCTTCTAATTTGGTAAAACACGATAAAGGTATAAAGCTTACACTGATGAGTAAAATATTGAAGCTGGATTAAAGCAGAACAGTATACAAGCTCGTAAGGCAGCTCCAGAGTCCTTTAATATAAGAATTGAAAGCCTGTGCACGAAGAATATAGCCAAAACAAATAAAGTTTTCTAGTTTAGAAGGAAGATAAAAAAACATTCTGTCACAAAGCTCATGAAAGGTAAAGTAGTGCATATTACAGAAAAAGACCTCCTTATGGTTTCAGATGTATTTGATATCAATAACGGGAATATGGATGGAGGTAAAGAGCACAGAGCAGAAAATGAGATATTTTACTGTTTATTCTTTATATTTGAAACTTGCCCCTAATTTTTGCCATCACTCCTTGACTTTCTACGTTTTAGATATGTCCGTGAACCTTAATCTTAATCAGCTGATGTTTTAAGTTGGAAGCAAGACAGAAGAACCAGGAATAACATTTTGGTGGGAAAAGTAAGGATAAGTAAAGAAGCTTATTTGAATTATCTATACTATAAAAATCTTTGTGAGCGTACGGTGAAGAAATGATTGAAAATTCCTCAATCATTAGTTGAGTTTTTAGGGAAATTTATGCCTGTGTTGGGTAAATTGATACTTTTGAATTGAGTGGACATTTTGTCCCCTCCCTCCCTCCCTCCCACCCACCCTCCTCCCTCCCTCTATCTCTCTCTACAGAGGGTTCTATTATTTTCATTCCTCATCTCTTTCTTAAATTATTTTTTTAATTTCATGCATACCCTTTGAAAAATTATATAATTAACAAAAGCAAGAAATGCAACACAAATGTAAACTACATAGTGACATATTTAAATGAGTCTTATTTAACATGTATAAAGTACATAGGCGACAATTATCAGAAAACCCCCCATAACTTTGAAAATTTTAGAAAACCCCCCTTATTAAGCTATAAGATTTTATTAGACCAGAGCCCCGCCCCCCCCAAAAAAAAAAAAATAATAATAATAATAATAATAATAATAATAATAATAATAAACTTTCAATTTTTATCAAAAATGCCCCCTAATTGAGGGGGGTTTTTTGATAAAATCTCAAAGTCAAAGGGTTTTTTTTATAACTCCTAGACTTAATGGACGGTTTCTGATATTTTCAAAGTTAAGGTGGTTATCTGATAATCCTCCAAAGTTAAGGGGGTTTTTCTAATATTCAACCTAATATATACTTAAAAATGTGTTTTAAGAACTTACAAAATTACACTTTTCATAATTATGGTAATAAATTATAAAGATTGGATGAATTTTCTTATCTAGAATAGCTTTTTTTTTATCGAAAAGAAACGTTCTATTCAACTAAGAAAAGATAAATCGTGGAGTACATATGAACAAATACAAAGTAAGGCACAATCCATCCGAATATCATGAACTAAGTTTCTAACTACCAACTGAGAAGAGAATGGGCAACTGAATTTTCATCTCTTATCTAGAATAGATGTTGCTGCTTCAATCTAAAATTAATACATCCTGATAATACAACATTAAATGATGAGAATTTTCTTATTAATTTAATCAAGTGAATTATGCATGTGCATATTTTACTATAAATCCTGTAAATACACATTAAATAATAATAATATAATTAACATGTACGACCGATGATTGTTTAGATAAAAAAATTAGTGTTGCTCACACATGCATTTGCATGTGCTAATATGCTAGCTTCCCATAATAATATTTTAGATACAAGGGCGAAATACGGCGAAATACGGCAAATATAGTAGAAATAAGAGAGGCATGTGTTAAGGATGGATGCAGTTTCGTATGGCTATTTTGTGCCTAAGAAATGAATTTGATTCCATACAGAAAACTTTGCCGCTTGACCTCCTCCTCTAGTCTAAATTAGCATCAAACTCCGACTTAAGATGGAAGCCTCCAAAACACCGGGATGCAAGAGCAAAAGTAGGGGATTCTCACAACCCATCAAACCCCCAGCGTGCTAACTAATTTGCTCCTCTTTCACTCACCACATTTGACTTAAGAAAGAAAAACTTGAACTTGTTCTCCCAAGAACATGACCAAACAAACCAAAATCGACCGCAGGAAGAAGAGCAAATGCCTATGCTTAAAATAGTATATCTCAAATCTTTCACGGACAAACTCTAAATCTGTGAAAATACAGGAATCCTTAAGATTCTTCCATAACATTAAAAAGCAGCATTTAACTCCGAACTGACCTGTAAAGAAAAACTGCAGCAAGCACAAATGCCACGTTATTCAAAACATATCCCGACAACGCCAAAACCGCTCTATACCCAATCATCGGAACCAACGGAGCAAAAACTGCGACAATGAAAAACTCCGTCATTTCCATCAAAAACCTACCAGAAGTTCAATATCTCAGAGATTGTAGTCCATTTGACGCAAACCCTAACCCTAACCTGATTTTGAGAGCAAGACCATGGAGATAGGAAGCAGAGGGAGGAAAGCGTAGGTCTGCTCGTACTCGTACCCGCACTCGGCGATGCGGACGAAGAAAACGCCGTCCCATACAACGCTGCTCTCTATCGCGGCGGAGGTCTTCGGCCATCGGATCGAATCTGACGGCTGAGATCTCTCGCCGAGGCACGGGGGGTTGAGTGATGCGGAGGTATCGTAGGGATCGAAGAGGAGGCGCCATAATACGATTAGGGTTACGACGAGGAGGCGAGAGGCGACAGCGAGGCGGAGGACGGGAGCTACGGATTCGTGAGATGTCGTCATTGGGGGGACGAGGAAGACTGAGATCGGAGAGCGAGAGTGTGGGGAGGGATTTGGGATCGATTACAGCCCGGTGACGGAACTATTTCAGTTTGATTTTGGGTTCAGGTCGGGTCGGCTATGGGCCTGTTTGTTTGGCTAAAAAAAAGAAATCAAAGAATACGAAACTTATTTCTTAAAAAAATTATTTTATGATTGTTTGGTTGGCTGAAAAAAAAGAAAATCATATAATAGGAGATGAGATAAAATGAGTTGTCACCGTATTATTGGATAATATGGGTGATTTTTTAAGAAAACTTGTTTTGAGATTGTTTGGTTGGTTAAGGGGCTGTTTGTTTTGCTCAAAAAAATGAGAAATGTCCCGCCACCTCACCTTTCAAGAAAACTCCCATGTGCCACATAGGTTTTTGATTTCAAGAGGTTTCCATTTCATGTGTTTGCTTCGTCTTTAATTTTCAAGAAATGAAGTGTCACATGTGCTGCCACCTCAATTTTTCAAGAAATGTGTTTTCAGCCCAATTTGGGCTGAAAACACTTGGAAATGTCCCATCGGAGAATAGTTAATTAATAAAAGCACTGTTTGAATAGTTCAAAAGAATAAAATGAAATATTTAAATGCCACATTTCTCATTTCCTTTTTCTTGTTCTCAAACAAACACAAGAAATAGAAATCAAAGCACTGTTACTATGGAGGCTTTTTTTGTCTTTTTGTATGACTTGGCTTTGAAAATGAATCTTTTCTTTGCGAAACAAACAAAAGAAATGAAAACTAAGAAATGTCTTGAAATGTCTTGAAATCATTTCAAGAGCTACATTTCCATTTCCGATTTTTTTCGGAAAACAACCAAACAGCCCCTAAAAAAATAAGGAAATGAATTATAAGAAACATATTTCCTATAATAGGTTCTTTTCTTGTGTTTGGTTCATTCTTAAAAATAAGAGATGAGTTGTCATTATATTATTGGATAATGTGACCCACACTTAAGGAAATCAATTTTCTTTTTTTTTTAGGAAATGGGAGGAAATAAAATGTTAATGAGATGAGATGAGTTGTCACCATATTATTGGATGATGTGGGTAATTTTTAAAGATGAGATGAGATGAGATGGGTTAGATGATGTGACCCATTTTTTGTGTTTGGTTTTTTTAGGAGATGATATGAGATGAGTTGATGGATGAAAATAATATTTTATTGGATAAAGTGGATGAGTTGTTAGATGAAAATAATATTTTATTGGATGTTGTGATGAGTTTTAGTGATGGAAATGGAGGAAATTGATGTTTTTGAGATTTCAATGACCCAATTTCCTATTCTTGGTTTTTACCTCAAATCCTATGGGCCTTGCGAATTGGTCCCTCTATCACCTTTTCCGTTAAAATTTCAAACCATGTTTAACTCCGAACATAGCACCCTCAATCACCAAATTTGCTCCTCAGTTAGAGGATTATATAGATTTTCAAGGGGACGCCTGTTCGGAAATTTAGAAATGGTTTTCCCTAGTGTTGGATAAGGGGGTGTTTGGTTACATTTCTATAAATTATAGGAAATGTTTTCCATCCCAAATTTGATTTCCTTGTATTTCTTAAAAAAATTATAGGAAAAGTTTTGAGAAGTTAAAAAGTACAAATTTTCTTATTTTTTGTATTGTGCTTGTTTGGTTCAAAACAAGAAAATGAGAAATAACTTTTGGGAAAATAGCAACATTTCCTATAATTTATAGAAATGTAACCAAACACCACCAACTTTATAGAAAAGTGAGAACTTTGTAGAAAAGAGTTAATGAGTTTTATTATTTAAATAATGAATGCGTCAGATTTCCAAGAGATTTCCTCCCATTTTAGAAGGAAATCAATTTCTATAAAATTTGGTACTTTTGGGCACTTTACAGAAAACATTTCTGTAAATTTTTTTGGAGCCAAACACAGTTTATAGAAATGTATAGAAAACTCTTAATTACATAAATGTCATGCGTCAGTACTTTTGAGAAAACATTTCTCAAAAACAATGCAACCAAACACCCCCTAAGATGATATTAGTAGATTTGGAGTTTTTTTTTTTAACTGAAAATTGGGTTTAAAATCATTAAGAAATGGGCCGGGGGACTTAATAGAAGGATAAACTCAGAACTTCTTTCAAGCTATTAGATTTAGTAGGAATATTCCATTAAATTTAGAGTGAGCTAACCGAAGGGACCGGACAAGACCCCCATAGAATTCGAGGGACTAATAAGCAACATTGAGGATTTGAGGAACCAATATGCAAGTATCGAACATTATATCTGAAAAAGCCCTTACCTAGTATCGATAAAGAGAAAAGGTCACTTTGCAAATTGATAAGTTTGACATGAATTCGGGGCTGTTTGGTTGGTTTCCTAAAAACCAAGAATAGGAAATTTGATCATGGAAATCTCAAAAATATCAATTTCCTTTATTTTCATCCTTAAAACTCACCACAACATCCAATAAAATATTATTTTCATCTAACAACTCATCCATTTTATCCAATAAAATATTATTTCCATCAATCAACTCATCTCCTTAAAAAAAACCAAACACAAGAAATAGGTCACATCATCCAACTCATCCCATCTCATCTTTAAAAATCACTCACATCATCCAATAATATAGTGACAACTTATCTCATCTTATTAACATTTTATTTCTTCCCATTTCCTAAAAAAACCAAGGAATTTGATTTCCTTAAGTGTTGGGTCACATCATCAAATAATATAATGACAACTCATCACATCTCATCTCTATCTCTTATTTTTAAGAATGAACCAAACACAAGAGAAGAACTTATTATAGGAAATAGGTTTCTTATAATTCATTTCCTTATACGATTTCCTTCTTTTTTTAGCCAACCAAACAACCATAAGGGGCTGTTTGGTTGGTTTCCAAAAACCCAAGAATAGGAAATTGGAGCTTGGAAATCTCCAAAAATACAATTTCCACCATTTTCATCCCTAAAACTTACCCACAACATCTAATAAAATATTATTTTCATCCAACAACTCATCCACATCATCCAATAAAATATTATTTTCATCCAACAACTCATCTCATATCATCCAATAAAATAAACCAAACAAAAGAAATGGGTCACATCATCCAACTCATCTCATCTCCATCACATCTCATCTTTAAAAATCACCCACATCATCCAATAATATTGTGACAACTCATCTCATCTCATCTTCATTTCATCTCCACCCATTTCCTCCAAAAAAAACAAGGAAATTGATTTTCTTAAGTGTGGGTCACATCATCCAATAATATAATGACAACTCATCTTATCTCATCTCATCTCCCATTTTTAAGAATGAACCAAACACAAGAGAAGAACATATTATAAGAAATAGGTTTCCTATTCTTTGATTTCATTTTTTTTAACAACCAAACAACCTCAAAACAACTTTTCTTAAAAAATCATCAACATCATCCAATAATATGATGACAACTCATCTTATCTCATCTCCTATTATTTGATTTCCTTCTTTTTTTAGCCAACCAAACAACCATAAAACAATTTTTTAAGGAAATAGGTTTCTTGTTCCTTGATTTCCTTCTTTTTTTGCAAGCAAAAAGCCCCTAAAACAATTTTTTTTAAGAAATAGATTTCCTATTCTTTTTTTAGCCAAACAAACAGGCCCGAAGAAGAAAGATTACAATCTCGTCTTCCTATTTGCTCTATCAAGTCTCATCACACTAATCTTCATAGCCTAAGGTATACACACAGAAAAAAACGCATGATTGATTATCATAATTGCATATATTTAGTGCACAAACAGTTTTGCCCAAGTTAAGTTTGTGAAGTATAATAACCAACTGGATAGAGATCTTAAAACTAAAGTACGTGCACCTTTTACGACAGACATCTTCTCAAATTGACACTTGAAGTTCCTAAAATATAGCCTGAATGCCCGTTCGATTGTAATGGCATGATCTTCACTCTTACAAAATGAATCAGAGGAATTATAACACCGGTAAAATCCACGTGCTAATTTGCCAAATACAGTCAATCAACTTGTAAAATTCATCATCAGCAGCTTTACGTACGCTCAACTCATAAATGTAAATGAGAATCAGATACAGATACCTACAACATAAAAACAAACAGGTTTGAGGTACAACATGCAATTACATGCAACGCTTTAAGACATTTTCCATGGTAACACCTAGAAAAATTATTGAAACTTGGAACTCATTTCTCCCCCACAAACCAGTCCGCTACAATGTCTCATTTAAGTTATCGACTACATAAAAAGCCAAGGATGAGTTGCCTAGAGAAACTCGGTAACAAACCGACGAAATCTCCAATGATATCAACGGGAGACAATGCTGCTCACTGCCTTGCCAGTTCCCCATTGTGAGGGACTGGAAGTCATCGGAAAGCCAAAGTGGTTCTGATGATGAAAGCCTCCATTGTTGCCTCTGTTTGAAACAGTCGAGAGCTCGGAGCTTGTGGAGGTTACAGTTGAGCCAGTAGTGATGCCATTCTCTGATGAGTGTGTTTGCTGCTTAAGTTTCTTGGTGTTGAGAAAACGACCGCCTACTCCTCTCGCCCTCTTCATTGCATGAATGTGCCGAGACTCATGAAGGTAAGGCTGGAAGACATATGAGAGAAGTTGAAATGAAGTTAGAACTTAAAGAATACATTAATTGCGATTAGGCCCCCTTGGTAAGTTGTTCTGAATCACTACACCTCAAGTTTTATTTTTGTAGATAGACCCCCTGATTGAAATATTTGCCTCTTTTACCCTTGGT